GGTGAGGAGTTCAAGTATCATCTTATCAGGTGGGAGCAAGTTTGCAGGCCTGTTCAGATGGGCGGTCTTAGGATTAAGAGCTGATCCATTTTAATAGGGTGCTCCTTGGGAAGTGGTTATGGAGATTTGATAGTGAAAGATGTCGTTTATGGAGGAGGGTTATCTCGTGTCGTTTTGGAGAGGAGAGAGGGGGTTGGTCTTAGAGGCCGGTTGGATCCTCTACTGGTGTGGGAGTATGGAAATTCATTTGAAAGGGATGGGATGAGCTCTCTAAGCATGTTAGGTTCAAAGTTTGGGAGGGCAGGGATGTCTAGTTCTGGGAGGATTCTTGGTGTGGTGATTGCCCGTTGTTTGTTTGTTTCCAAGACTTTTTAGAATTGCTGCGGAAAGACATGCTATGGTAGCGAACTGTTATCAGCTTGATAGTGGAAGGCTTGCATAGGATGTGCGATTTTGGCATTCCTTTCAAGATTGGGAACTTGATGATGTCTCTGGCTTGCTGAATCTTGTGTAAGACAAAACGTGTACGGGAGAGGGTCTGGTTCCTTGGTTTGGATGTGCTCTCCTCAGGGGAGGTTTAATGTCCGTTCTTTGTTCCTTTGCCTTGCCCGTTTTCATGGTTCAAATTTCCCGTGGAAGATGGTTTGGCGTTCGAAGGCCCCTCTCAGGGTGGCCTTTTTTGTTTGGACTGCAGGTTGGGGAAAGATTTAGACTCTCGACAATTTGAGAAAGAGAAGACAGATGATAGTCAACTGGTGTCGTATTTGTAAAAATGATAGAGAGTATGTGGATTACCTTCTTTTGCATTGCTCTGTGGCTTACAATTGCTAGAGTCTTATCAAAAAATGATTGCTAGAGTCTTATTTTTGGTCTTTTTGGCATTCATTAGGTTATGCCTCAGTCTTCAAGGGAGTTGGAGTTGATTGACGTTTAGAGGGGCCACAGTGTGGGGGCTCACGCTCGTGACCGTTGGAGGGTGACCCCCCCTCTGTGTTTGGTGGAGCATTTGGAAAGAGCCAAATAAAATATCTTTTGATGGGGAGGAATCCTCTATTGGGGCACTGAAATTTTCTATTATTAGTTCTCTTTTAAGTTGGGTGATGGGGGGAAATTGTTATCTTTAGATGAAATCGTGGATTTTTTGGGTTCTTTGGGTCCTTAGGATTTATTTTTTGGCTTCGTTCTTCTTATAGCTCTTGGGATGCGTTCCCCTTTTGAACGCCTTCTAATACAATTTTATTTATCAATTTTTTTTTAAAAAAAAAAAAAAAATTAAATTCATGAGTCATTGAATTCCTACATTTCCTAATGCTCTCCATGCCTTGATAGGGATGCTATCTGGCCCAGCTGCTTTATCTTCCCCCTCTTTTTTAGTGGGTCACCGACTTCTTTGTTGTTAGTTTTACTTTTATGCACCACTCTTACATTAAATTCATTACTTTCCACTTCTTCTATAGTATATTCCTCATTTAGAAGGTGTTGAAAGTAATTCTTCCATCTATCTAGTATATCAAGATCCTTCGGCAACATTTTAATGTCAACATCCTTATCTCAACACTCCATCATGTTTCTTTTTTGATAAATTTCTTCCCTTTGGTCTCCCCCAAGATATCCTTTGTCATATTCCTAATATTACTTGCCATATCCCCCCATATGTTATTTATGTAATCATTTCCTTTTTTTTTTTTTTTTTTTTAACATTCATTCTCTATCTACTAGCCTAATATGACTTGCCATGTCTCCCCATTTGTTATTTATGTTATCATTTTCATTTCCATTGCATTTTTTTCAACATTAGTTCTCTATCTACTACCTCCTCCTTACTTTTTTGATCTTTCCACTTTATATTTTGATGACATTTCCTCGTTTTTTTTTATATATTTAAATCCTTTAATTACTATGTCCAAGACTAGTAGTTGGTGTTGTTTTTTTAGGCTTTCACCGGGGATTACTTTACAACTCTTCCTACATCATCCATTGCACCTTGCTTAGCCATGACTAACCTAACTAGTCAAGCCCTGCTCCACAACTCTTCCATTCTCAATCACAATCCTTCACATATTTGATCCCGATAACAACTTTGAATCCATTAACCCTCTCCTCTATGCAACTCCAAATACCCCTATTCTTCTCTATCCTTTCCTCTCTTTCCTCACAATGTCCCCTTAATACACCAATCTAGCCACACAACCTTACTCGTTAATCTAATGTATCTCATTGGTAACAGTTTGTGGTATTTTCCTTCTCTTTCCAATAGAAGAGTGTGGATTGCGTGTATACATATATATATATATTTACAATTTGTGTGCACACACGCACACATATAACATGTATTCCTATATATGGATATGCCAATCTAATGTATCTCATTGGTAACAGTTTGTGGTATTTTCCTTCTCTTTCCAATAGAAGAGTGTGGATTGAGTGTATACATATATATATATACATATATATATATGTGCACACACGCACATATATATAACACGCACATACATTTACAATTTGTGTGCACACACGCACACATATAACATGTATTCCTATATATGGATATTCCTATATATGGATATGCCAATCTAATGTATCTCATTGGTAACAGTTTGTGGTATTTTCCTTCTCTTTCCAATAGAAGAGTGTGGATTGAGTGTATACATATATATATATACATATATATATATGTGCACACACGCACATATATATAACACGCACATACATTTACAATTTGTGTGCACACACGCACACATATAACATGTATTCCTATATATGGATATGTATATATACATATATATATATACATATATATATATGTGCACACACGCACATATATATAACACGCACATACATTTACAATTTGTGTGCACACACGCACACATATAACATGTATTCCTATATATGGATATGCCATATATAGGAATACATGTTATATGTGTGCGTGTGTGCACACAAATTGTAAATGTATGTGCGTGTTATATATATGTGCGTGTGTGCACATATATATATATGTATGTATATTTTTGGAGTTTATATACACATGCATATCCATATATAGGAATACATGTTATATGTGTGCGTGTGTGCACACAAATTGTAAAGGGATTTTGGGAAACTAGAGAAGAAAAGGAGGGTTTGATTTGAGATTGAAGAGTTGTCAAATAGAGTGAAATGAGAAGGTGATGGTGAGCGGTGTTGAACGTGGTTGTTGCATACCTTAGTTATGTTGGGGGCATATCCCTCAGCGATAGAAATATAGCATAGGGTGTAATAATATCTCTCTCTGCCTTTTTTTCTTTTCATTTTTTTTTTTTTTTTTTTCCAAATCTATCCAGATTTTAGGACATGGACACAACTAAATTGTATACATTTTCATAATTTTCTAATTTTCTTTTCCCTTTTCCATGGTTAAAATCAATTGTCTTTGTAAAAAGTGTGGAATCATCACTTCTGATAAAACAAGCGTGTTAAATAGGAGTAATAAGCAAAGCAACTTCAGGAACTTACAAGCACGCTAGGAAAGATTCTATCTCTTTATTTCATTTGATGCTTGTTTGGCGCATGTCCAAAGATTTGACATGTAAAGAAGTTCATGCAATGAAGCCCTTTAATGAAGAAAACCTAGATGAGAAAAATCATGGCCAGCTAGTAGAACAAGTTTGATTGCAGGGAAAGATTGTGGAAGAACTATAACTAGAGTTGGACTTTGGCATTGTTGAGTCTAGGGTCACTCTCGTGTATTAGTATCTAAAAGATATACAATTCGTCTTGTTTGTTTGGATATAAATTGTTTTCTCCGTATGGTAAGCAACTTTGCTAAAGATACTGGTCCAAATACTATTTATGAAAAAAATTTAATTTATGAAAAAAAAAAAAAAAATACTACTTTAGGCTTTCGGAGTTGTTTTTTCCATGAGTGTGGTAAAATTTCACTTCTGTTTAATATTTAACGGGTTACAAAATTAACTTGATTTCAGCATGGCTTGCAAGACGCATAAATTTATCTCGTGTTAACGTGATTTTTTTTGTTTTTGTCAGCATCTCATGAAAAATTCTGTACGTGTCACCGGGTATTGTTCGACATCATAACTGTTGGATATTACAACTGTTAACCACTATCTACTCTAAAAGCTTAAGCTATTAGAGAGGGCGTAACTTAAATATATAAATCCTTCAACACGCCCCCTCACTTGTGGCCTTCTTTTGGTCCAACACGTGCTTCAATTTTACATTTGAGGGTGACAGTGAGGTTTGAACTCAAGACCTTTGGCTTTGATACCATGTTAATCACCATCTACTCTAAAAGCTTAAGCTATTAGAGAGGGTGTAACTATAATATATAATCCTTCAACAACTATCAAGGTTCCAAATGGGTTGGACATTACCGATGGACACTTTATGCTTTAGTCTATGGACTTCTATGAAATGGTCTTTGGTAACATTTTTGGTTACTATTAATGGCAGGAAAAGGATGAAAAAAATTATTTGGACATTATAAAAAAGCAACGTGGAATTTAACCAAAAATTTTTTGGAGCAACATATTAACAAGATGAAAGCTTCATATGTGTGGGGACTTTAAATAACAATGTAAATGGTGTTATATAAAACCCATTTCAACAAGGATTCTACTTGCACAATGTGTTAATAAAATGCATCTCACACACCTCTACTCTAACATTTCCTTTGGCTTCCTAATCAACCTCCAATAGCCAGTCTTATTCAGAGCCCATCTTAAAACTACAGATCTGCAGCTCTCTGTCTTTTACCTTGTGCACCTCTTTTAAACCATCATCTCTCTTTTTTTGTACGTTCTGTGAATATTCAAACTGAAATTTCTTCATAAAATCTGCTTATCTAGTGATCTGTATTTTCAATTATATATATATTTTTAATTAAACTTATGCTTTATAAATGCTTGTTCTTGCATACATTGCAGGAATTTCCAAGTTCTTTTCTCATTATGTTTCCATTTTCAAGCTAATATCAATTTGTTCTTACCAATTTGTTGCAGAGACACTTTGCTGGCAGGAGTGGCTTGTATTTTCAGATTTATTTTTTTTCCTATTGAAAAGTGGGTGTATTGATTTTGTTGATTTTGTGGACAAGCTAGTTTCACACCTCACTGAGGGTGATCAACATATTCTAAGGACGAATCATGTCACGTGGTTACTTGCACAAATTATTAGGGTTGAGCTCGTGATGGATGCTCTTAAAACCGACTCAAGAAAGGTTGTGTCTGAAATGTTTAAATTTATTCCTTTTCAACTGCTACCATGTATTTCTTCCCATCCTTCTCCATCCCACTTCTGATACAAGATCATCGATCCATTGTTGGTCTCATAGTGTATTTATTTTTTGATGTACTTGCATTTTTAGATGCTTAATTTTCAATTTTTTTCATTATAATAATTTTTCATGTTCAGAATTATTGGTTTTTTAGCTATTATTATTATTATTTTTATGTGCTTGAATTAATCTTTTGACGTGTTGTAAGTTTACTTAGAAATTACAATTTTGCTGGCAGGTGGAAACAACCAGAAAGATTCTGTCATTTCATAAAGAAGATAGAAGCTCTGATCCTAATAATCCCCAAAGTATCCTACTTGACTTTATAAGCAGTTGTCAAAACCTGCGTATATGGTCATTAAACACAACCACCAGAGAATATATAAATAATGAACAGCTTCAGAAAGGAAAGCAGATAGATGAATGGTGGAGGCAAGTGCCGCAAAATAGCAAAGGTATATATTTATTACCTAGGGAATAAGAAAGAAAAAAAAAAAAAAGAAGGTATATATGTATTTTATTAGGTTCATCTTCATTATATGATGTTTTCACAATATTTTATATGTAGGACACTCTTTTACATTAATTATGTTGTATAAGAGATACAAAGTTCTGCTCCTAATAAAACCTATTTACCGAAAAAAGAAGAAGCTCTGATCCTAATAAGAACTAATAAAAATATAGGAAATCCTGCCCTACGATCTTTAAAATGACAAGTAAAAATAAAGGTTATTACCTGCTACCGTGTTCCCTTGTTTTTGAGTAATGGGATGGTGGATGAAGAAAAAAACTTAAAATTTGGTTTTTTGTACTAGAGGTTTCCCTTGAACTGGAATTTGCCATTAAAATATTTCGTGGACTTGATTTTTCTATGCTTTTGATCCAACATGATCTAGAGAATCATGCTGCAGTGGCTTGTGTTTAAGGGTTGAGTGGCAGCTTCTCATGAAGGTGTGATGTTATATACCATTTAATTGTCTGAACATTTTAAACGTAGTCTCAGTATCCTCAATTTAAGGGTTTCAATTAGTTGTTGAAGCAATATCACTTAGACATCCAAGAAACGTAGCTCTCTCTCTCTTTCTCTGACAAGTAAAGCTTAGTTCTCAGAAGTTGATGGAGTATTTTGGTGGAGTGATGAACAATATCTTCAAATTAGACGTAAAGAAGACCATGATCATGTCAACTGAGGCTTCATGTTGTACCTTTGGACATTTTGGGTACCAAAAAATGTGAAGTGGATATTTTTGTATATTGACTATGGAATTTTTAAAGCTGATGGATGCAAGTCCACCAAGTTCCCTAGTTTGCTAATTCTTTATCCTGGTGATGGACATTTTTGGTAAATTGATAGAAAGGACTGTTGATGTAGTGGGTCTGATTTTTAAAGTTTAAAGTCAAGGGTTGGTATTGGAGCCAATTTCTTGTCTTTGTATGCCAGCCATACCTTGATCCTTCAGGGTGGAAATAAATTTCTAAGTTTACGATGCACAGAAGACTATTGTAGGTCGTATATTAGAATACAGAGGGAGAATACATTTACAAGAATATAATATGCCCTAAACTAATAAAGAGAGGGAAAAGACATTTGTGGATCTGGTGTTTAAAGTCAAGGGTTGGTTTTGGAGCCAATTTGTTGTCTTTGTATGCCAGCCATACTTTGATCTTTTAGGGTGGAAATAAATTGATAAGTTTATGATGCACAGAAGAATATCGTAGGTTGTATGTTAGAATACACACGAAGAATACGTATACAAGAATATAATATGTCCTAAACTAATAAAGAGAGCAAAAAGACATTTCTACCCTCAATAATAAAAGAAATCCCACAAACTCACAATGTGACATTTAGAAGCATTGAGAGTTTGCCTAAAAGAAAACGAAAACCGCAAAATAGTATGGGACTCAGTGAAGAAATTAGCCAACTGCATAGAAGAAGAAACAGACAAGAGAGAGAGAGATATGGTGCCAAGCTGAAGATGATGGCGCACGAAATTATAATAAATCTCGATATGCTTTGTACAGTCATGAAAGAATGAGTTAAGTGCAATCTGAATGGCACTCTTGTTACCACAATACATGGGAGTAGGAATGGAAAGAGGAACACCCATATCACCAAGCAACCATCTGAATATCTATTCCGACTAGGTTCGATCAATTGAAAGTTGTGAAAGATAGTATCCAAATCTGAATTGAATAGTTCTAAACCTAAATATTTTCACCCCCCAAGGTTTATAAATTGGACCCTAAGTCCTCAGAATACCTATTCCGAGAGAATACAAGTATATGCAAGTCTACATCAAGCATAGGGAGCATATATTGAGCATATTATATTTGTGAGACAACTCTAGGGTGCATCCTTGCAAGTAGCAATCTCTGTTTCTTTCATCATGAGCCATGCATATAGATGGGGAGCGCTTGTGGATGTTGAAACATACAATTAACAGAGTTTAAGCTTTTCAACACCTATGTTCCACATTACAAACAACCAATCTGACAAGTTAGTGTATAATACCTTCATTCTGATTGTAAATTTGATTTACCTGGACTAGGTTCCTTGCCTTTTCCCTCTGGACGGTGTTTATGTGCGTGGATGGTTTTATGGTTTATATTTTTGGACTTTAATTATTTTTACATGTTTATCGCTTGATAATTAAATTTCAGTTAATTATGACAATTTAAATTTGAAATCCGGTTTTTAAAAAAAATTAGTTATTAAGACAGACATATTCACCCTCTCTAGGTCTAGATTGGGCCTTGCTCACTCTGACTATCAGAGCCTTGGGTCCACAGTCCTTCATTATACTCTACATTAGAGCCTAGGGTAATGGTCCTTAGATTCCTCAAATAGTATCAGAGCGATATGTAGATCCAAATATTATTATCGAATAGGCATTGTGTGTTTAGAGACACAACTCTCTGAAAAATTAATTTAAAACATATGAAGAATTTCTCTCCAGCTGTGGTACTGAAAATTTTCATCGCTTTTGTTCACGAACCTATGTGTTTAAAATTTGAATTGTCACACCTTGGTAGTTTGTGAGCTCAAATTCTTCGGTAAGATACAAAAATTGCTTATGGATTTGCACAAGGAGAAAAAGAAAAAAATAAAAATTTAAATGAAGTTTATACTAGTTGAGCATGAAGATCTTAAATTAGAAATTAAAAAACTTAAAAGACTGTTGAGTGTGAACCTGATCAACTTTAGTGAGTAAATTAATCCACTTGGAATAAAAGGACTTAAACATGATTCCCCTATGGTTGATCTAGAAAACTCTCAATTCTTAGTTACATAATAAAAAATTGAAAAGGAAAATTTTATCAGCTAAACTTTGGTTGAGGAACTAGAGGATGAAAAGAATGATTTACTTGGTAAACTAATGTTTCTTGAACAAGAAGTAAGTAAGAGAATGAACAGAAAATCAATTTTTTTGAAAGATTAGAAGACCCAGAAACTGAATTGAAAAGGTGTAAAGAAATTGCATAAAGTTTTTGCAGAGAACTGAAAACATGGAAAAATTACTCATAATAGGAAAGTCTTCTTCCGATTAGTCTGGTTTAGGCTTTAAATCAAATGGTATTACTTTGAATCAAAGCTTTAATTTTGTTTTAGAAACTCATCCAGCACTATCTAGAAACACTTTTAGGAATGTCACTCAAATTTGTGGGAATAGATTCCCTATACCAAATTTTAGGAAGAACTATTTTCAACCTCCAACAAATGGCGAGATTCTCTGTGGCAACGAAGCTATACTAGTGGTGGTGATGAACAGAGACATGACATTGAGGATAATACAAGGACAAAGGAAAGAGAAATAAGAGTTGAGGTTTTAAGGAAAGACATGATAGCATGTGTGTTAACTAGTGGTCCCAGCAGTTGAATGAAGAAATATGTTCTTGATCCCATTTGGCATGTCTTGGGTGTTCCCAAGATCCACAGTGGATTTGATAGAGGCTTGGAGAGGGTGTCTAGTGGAGAGCCGAGCCAGGGATTGAATGGCCATTCCCCTTTGTTTATGGTTGGGTTTGTGGTGTGAGAGGAATAGGAGATCCTTCGAGGGAGAGAGACTCCTATTTGGTCTCTCCAATACAATATACTGTATACTTTTATTTTTTTGGGTTAATGGACGTAATTGTAAATCTTTGGGGCATCTTTTGGATTTTGTGGATAGCTTAAAGCTATAGTTGTCGCCTTTGACGTCTTGTGTATTCTCTTGGGAGCGCTCCCCGCTTGAGCTGGTTCTATGAAATCTTACTTATCAAAAAAAAATGCTGGAAGTAATAATTTATGTAAACTTTGCAGTTTTTGAGATTGTTACTTTGTTTGGCTTCATTACATCACAAAAAAAAGGGTCCTTTTCACCAAACGAATTGACTTAGGTTAGACTGATACAATGACTTGATCTAATGATGCCTGAACCAGACTCTAAACCATGACTACTCCGTGTTCATGTTCCAGATTGTATATGAATTAAAAACCAATATGCATAACAACTTCAACTTCTTCAATTTTTTTATACCTTTAGACCTTTATTCCGGAAGGCAGAATTTAGTATTATTACTTCAATACCACCTCTCTGGAATGGTTCCAAAACATAGTGGTTTTGTTTGGTTCGACTCTCAGGTTAAATGCAATAATTGAAGTACATGACTGAGCATTTTTTTCTCTTGACATTTTCTTATTTATATCAGGGGAGCGCCTGATGGATTTTATGAATTTGGATGATAGATCAATTGGGATGTTTTGGGTTGTGTCTTACGCCATGGCACAGCCTGCATGTGAAACTGTGATAAGTTGGTTGACATCTTATGGAGAAACAGATCTGTTACCAGGATCAAATTTAATGGTGATGAGAGAAGTTTGCCCACTGCCACTATCATTATTATCAGGCTTCGCAATCAACTTGTGTTTGAAATTGTCTTATCAGATGGAAGATTTGTTGTTTTCTGGACAGGTACTTAGTATGCTTTCTGGTTTAAGTAGCTTTTTATGTGCTTTCTGGTTTAAGTAGCTTTTTATGCTGGAATTGATATCATACATAGGATTGTCGGCCTTTTCCTCTATAAGACAGCCTAGCGGTACCAGACCCCTACTTCCCAAAGGGAGGTAAGGGGTTCGAACCTCGGTGGAGGCATGTGTGTGTGAGTACCAACTAGGAAAAAAAATATATATATATATATTTGCTAACTTAAATATGGGAAACCTTGTCTGCCATAAAATTTGGATTAAGAGTTGGTGTCATAATTCCAAACATGCAAAAATTGGAAATGTCCTAAAAATAATGGAAGTGTAGTGAGATCTCTGAATGAAATTTGGACATGCACAGGAACTTTCTAGGAATTTGTTCATAATTTATTAATATGCGAAGGTAAGCTCAGAGAGCGCGATGAATCAAGTATATTAAGGACTCATACTCTCATTCACATGATAAGACAATAATGGAGAACCATAAAGAATGTAGGAACCATATTGAATGTACGGTATGCGTGGATCTATAGGATCACAACTAACGAGGTGATGATATAAAAAATTTCTATATTAAAGACTCACTAAAAATATAGTTATAATTTTGGTATATAGTATTTTTAGTGAAACTCCACTTGTTTTGTGTTTGCTATCTTGTCCTTGCATTGTCTATCCCAAGCTTAAAATGGATGATTATGTTAGGTAGCTCATAGTTAGCATAAAAGATTTATCATATCACTTATGAATATGAAGTGTTACTGCCATATTATATGATCGGCAAAAACTCATTGAGTTGAAACAAGAATTTATAGAACAACAGAACCAGTAAGCTAGTTATGCTTTGTAAATATAATGTTGGATTCAATATCTTCATGCACACTTCCAATTTCTGGATCGTTATTACTGCAAATACATATGTACATTTGTTTCAAATCTCTTATAACTGTTTTCTTCTAGTACCCGTGTGCCTTCTTATCCAATTTTATGAACACACACACACACATACGTATATACATATACAGCACCGTAATTAAGGTTACAATTTTGTTTTTTATTTTAATTTCTGATTCTTCTAGTGTTCTGTCTGCTAAGGATTTCATTTCATGTGTGTCCTGTTGATGAGGAATGACTTCTAAGAACATTTGAAATCCATATCAGAGAGGGTTCAATCAATGATTTGGTGGAACTATTTTGTGAATTTTAACCCTGGGAAAGTTTCATCTTTTTGTGAGTTAAAAGAAAGTTTAGCATGTTATTTGTTTTTCCACTGTAAATAAGATAATAAAGAATTGTTTTTTTCCCCTCAATGTGAAGACAAGAATGGATTCAATTAGTAAGTAGCCATAGAGAAAAAGGAAAGAAGTTGTGAATAAAAATAATAACAACAATAATAATATTGCCACAGGATCATCACATGCACTTTGATCTTGTTTGCTCCTAGTTAATCAAACACTTATGCTAAGTTAAATGGAAGTGATAGCTTATGCTTCTCTTCTTCTTTGTAAAAGCGAAAGTAAAAGCTATGCCAAACGAGGCCTAAGATGGTTTGGTCATTTGAAGTAAACTGATAACAAAACCTCTAAAATAAGAGTCTGATATGATCCACATTGAGAATTGTTAGAGGATTTAAATATTAAAGTCCACCCCCTCTAATAGCTTAAACTTTTGGAGTAGATGGTGGAGCACGCATGGTCCGGAGTTCAAACCTCACCATCTCCATAATAATAAAAATTGAAACACGTGTTGAACCAAAAGAAGGCCACGCGTGAGGGGGAGTGTTGGAGGATTTAAATATTAAACACTCTCTCTGATAGCTTAAACTTTTAGGCTACAATCGGTGCACAAGAATGAAATGGAATTGGAATGGAATGGAATGGTTTTTGGTTGCAAAAATGAAATAATGTAGGAATGGAATGACGATCACCATTCTAGTAATTGGTTGGACAAATTTAAAGCCTAGAATGGAATGAATTCTGAATTGAGAGAGAGGGAGGGCTCTATTTTCTTATGAATTGAACAATAAACCCTAGGTCAGAGCTAATCTAGATTATAGAGAGAGAATGATTTTTTTTTTTGTCTTTAAGTTATTTTATTTTATTTCTAGGTGAAAATGGAATAACCATCCTTAGGTCAAGAAGGGGAATGGTCATTCCACCTTTTTGGTGGAATGGGCATTCCAAGGGAATGACTATCCCGCCTTTAATATTGCACCCTAAACAAAAGATTAGGAATCAAAAGGTGGAATGACCATTTTATTCCATTTGATTCATACGTACCAAACGTAGCATTGGAGTAGATGGTGATTGACAAGAATAATGGTAGGGAAAGAGGAAGTCTGAAATTTGTGTTAGTTGAGAAGTTGAGATGTGAAGTGAAACATGGTAGAGTGTTTTTTAACTGAATATATGGCCCTAGACAGAGTGGAATGATGAAGATTGGGTTGACAGTTTTAACTAGGTTTCATTTAGTTGAGCAGTAAAAGAGAAACAATAAATGAATGACTCTTCTAAACCGCTTGTAGTGTTTACTCAGTGTTTAAATATCTTTATTATTATTATTTTTATTAGCCATTTTTAGCTTTTTATTAGGTGTTTTATGTAAGATCCCTATAATCATGGGATCACGTAGATAAGATCCCCGTATTCAAGAGATCACGTAGATAAGATCCCCATAATCATGGGATTTCGTAGATTTTGGCATATTTCCTATTTTTCCTTGATTTGGTTTCCTTTCTTTATACCTTATTGTTGTATATAAATATTACTCTTGGCCCTCGGTTTGAGTAAGTTAAAACCCAAAACTTCTTCTATTTGGTATTAGAGCGAAAACGAAAAACCTTTGCCTCCTCATCTTCTTTCCCCAATGCCGCCACCTTCTCTCTTTCCCTCTCTCCTCTTTCCCTCACCTCCGACGCACCTCCATCACCTCCAGGGGCTTGCGCGCATAGCAGAGGGGTAACCCTCTCTTTTTGACTCCTTTTTAAGGAGAATTCCCTTGGATTGTTTATGACTAAAGGGTCCTTCTAGTGTCTTTTTTCCTTTGTGGGCTGCCGTGTTTGTTCAGCAGCGTCTTTGAAGGAATTTGCCGATTTTTTCGGCCTTATTTTTCTCTTTCCTCCCTTTTTGACGTGTGAACCAGCCTTATTTTGGTACTATGAGTGATTCTATTAGCCAAAAGGACACTTTATCTTCGGCACAACATACCTCGGCGCAGCGAGTTACTAGTGGGCTCTTAAGTTGGCGTAACTCTATATCTTGGAGGGAAAGGGAAAACTGGTTGGCTTCTGGGTCTAGTCAAGGAACCGAAATAGACAAATACTAAATATATTGCATGGGATATGGACAGATACACCATTATAGGTTGGATCTTCAACTCAATGGAGGAGCGTAACTATAATATGTTTATGTTTCACACTTCCGTTTTTTGTCTGTGGCAAGCCCCTAAGAAGATGTATGCCCACTCCCGCAATGACGCTCGTATCTTTGAACTTTATTAGGAGTTTGCTCATGCATCTTAGGAGACACTCAAGCTGTCAGTATCAGAGTATTTTGGGTACCTCCAATCTAGGTGGGAAGAATTAGCACAGTATGAACCTCTCTTCGATTTCTCTGAAGCTGCAACTCTTTTGGTCAAGAGATTTGACCGCCAGCATACCTACCAGTTTTTTATGGGTTTACGATCTGACTATGATGCTCTTAGAACTCAAATCATAAACACCTCTCTTGTACCTGCTTTATATGATGTTTTCGCTCCAAATCGGAAAAGAGAAGACTCGGGACCTAAACGTTTGGGATGAAGCGAACTGGGTGCCGCTATTGGATACTGTTGACCATGAGGAGCATAGATGTCAGATCTCTCAGCCAGTAGCTTTACCAGAGACTTCAGGTGGCTCTTGCTGCTAATTCTAGACTTTCAGAGGGAAAGGTTATTTGTGAATATTGTGGAGCCACGGGTTATGTAAAGGATCGCTGCTTTAAGCTTCATCCCGAGCTAAAGTTGAAAATTTCTCGCAATTGTCCTTTGGGCCGTGGCTGCACTGCCGCAGTAGCCGATACTATTGGTGGGTATAGTACTCCACAGATTGTTGTCCCTCTGGCTTCAACTCCTCCTAGACCATCTTTTCAGGACTTCAATTAGTTACAGTCCTAGATTGGTCGCTTCAGGAGCAGTTCGGAGCTTTATCTACCAAGGTTGGCTCTTCTACTCCCACGGCTACGATAGCTACAGGTACTCCTTTTGTTTTTCATGTTAAAGCGGGAAAACGTACTTGGGTTCTGGATTTCAGAGCCAATGATCACATGACTGGTGAGTTATCATTATTTTCTACTCCCCTTATTGCTGTTAATCAGGCTGTTAGTCTATTTGAAGGGTCAACCACCATTATTCACAGTAAAGGAGATGTTCATCCATTCTCTGATATTATTTTGCCATATGTTCTTCATGTTCCTGACTTTGCATTTAATCTTTTATCTGATAGCAAATTTGCTAAATTACTAAACTGTGCAGTGATTTTCTTTCCTCATTACTGTGTTTTACAGGATCCTCCACCGACACCTCCTCCACTTGCTTCAAGCCTTTAAGCCTCTGTTCTTCTAGTTTCTAGGTCTTATGATTTTTCTTTTCGGATTTTAAATTTATGGCATGGTGACTTTCAGTATTTATATCTTGTTTTCCCTTCATTAATAACGGCTTGTAAGGATAAATATAATAAATTTCAATGTGAGATTTGTGAGCTTTCTAAACATACTAGAACCAGTTATATTTCTCATATGTATCGTGCACTTAGTATGTTTGATCTAATACATTTTGATGTGTGGGTCCTTTTCCTGTTATTGCTTTTTGGGGGCATCGTTATTATGTCACATTCATTGGTGATTATTCCCGCTGCACGTGGGTATATTTACTTAAAAAGAAATTTGAAGTTTTTCCCTTATTCACTCAATTCCTCCAAATGATCAAAAGTCAATATAAAGCTGTTATTAGGAATAT